AAAGGAAGGAAGGAGGGAAGGAAGGAAGGAAAGAAGGAAGGCTCCCCTACTTAATTATTTTCAGGTCACTCTCATATCTGTTATCCCATTGATTCGTACACATCCCTTTGGGAAGTCCATGTTAAATAGTTCTGTTTTTAAAAAAATAGTTCTGTTTTACAGACTGGAACACAGGTGAAGTGTTTATGACCTGCACTAAGTCACTGAGTTTGCTAGAAGGATACCTCTGAGTGGGTCCCAGGTCTCCTGAGTCCTGCTGTCACATGGCAGCTGGAACCTCATTTTGGACACCCAGGGCTCTAGGCTCCCCACTCTTAAATGGCAATAGCTGTTACCTGGGCTTTGGTCACATATTCCAGGGTGGGTGTCTATGGCAGTAGAAGATGGACTATGTACAAAGATGTCCCCAAAGATGTAATCCCCACCTGAAGTGCTCTCACACCCCCTCTTTTCTAGCAAGGCACCAAGTCCATTGGTAAAATTCCTTGGAAATGCAGAGAGAGAGAAAGAGAGAGAGAGAGAGAGAGATCCATTGTCAGGACCACAGGCTGTTTGAGAATCAAGTTGGACAACATTTCTTAACTCTAGTTTTTGGAGAGGAAAAGTGTTTACCAAAATGGGCCTGTCCTTGTGCTATTTAATGCCTTCTCTCGCCACTTCTCTCCCTCCAGCCCTCGGGAGAGGTCGCCAGGGGCTTGCAGGATGGCTTCAGCAGGTGTCTGTTCGAGACCCTCAGAGCTCAGCCCAGGGAGCCTCACTTCAGAGAAGGTGGGGCCTTAGAGAGGGAGTAGCTTGCTTAAAGGCAGAAACAGACCAGAACCCAAACCCTCTGCTCCCAGCCCAGGGCACTTTGCACGGGACCCCTGGGAGCTTGGAGCAGCACCCTGCACTGAGGAGAGTGGCGGGTGCGTACCAGAGCTGTGTGGGTGGAGAAGGGGGATTCCCTCTCACTGTTTTCTGCAGAGTCTTATCCTCGCTCCCTTGAAGAATGGTCATTTCTGGATATAGCTCCACTTTGTCCACAGCTGTTGCTACTGACTAAAGGGACAGGATGGGCTCCAGGACAGATTCAGGGGTTTCCCCTAGAAAGCTCTTCTTGACTAATAAATGATACCACAACTGAGGACTGGCTGGGTGCCCCACGCTCAGTGAATCCTCCGGACAAGTTCATGTGTTAGGTGCCGTTATTGATGCCATCTTCCAGCTGAGCCGAGAGAGAGAGAGAGAGAGAGAGAGAGAGAGAGAGAGAGAGAGAGAGAGCGCGAGAGCGCAATGACTCCTCCAAGGTAACCCAGCTGCTTGGTGCTGAACCCAGCATCAACAGGCCACCTTCCCCGCTTCAGAGTTCCGTATGTGATGCTTCCCCGGTTTTTCTGAAAGGCCCATTTTGGAGAATGTTAAATGAGTAACCCCCAGATTCTGACTCTATGGAATGTGTGCACTTTGGGAAGAAGAGCAGAGAAGAAAAATCCGCCCTTTCGTGGTGAGGAAGTGGGTGGAGCCAGATTAGGGCTGCCAGGCCAGCGCCCCGCTGCTTCCCTGATTTTGGGTTTGATTTACCTGCCCAGAGCTCTGTAAGCAAATGCAATCTTGGGGTTTGAAGAAGAATAATGCTGGGGCGGGGTGAGGGGTGGGGGTGGAATAGAAGGGACTGTTCCCTGGACTAAGAATCTGCTAAAACCTTTAAATATCCCTTGAACTTTTTTTTTTTTTTGGCTCCCTGCAATGTTTTGGTGTTTGGATTCCGTTGCCACGAGTGGGCTGTTTTTAGCTGCCTAGTTCAGTCCCCTCTCCTTTTAACTTTTTTCCCTTCCTTTCGCACATGCCCCGGCATGAAGTTTCCAATTCTTATCTCAGCAAAACACACTACGGCTGGTCCGAATGTGGATTCCCTCGGTGGGTCTCCAGGGTGGCACCTCAGCAGTATCCAAGTTTCTGCTTAACCCTCTTCCACTGAGGATTAAACATCCCTTCCCAACCCCACCCCCTCCCCAAACCCCAGCCCCAGCTTCCTTTCTCAGCAGGGAAGGGAGGTATGCTTTGCCTTTGGGTAAAAGAGCATTTTGGTCTGGGGAGCTTTTCTAGCCCCCTCTGCTCGATGGGACACAAGGTGCACGCTAGACATTGGTGGCATTAACTCAAGTCTGAAATGAGGACACACAGGACTGAGATATTGATCACTCCTCCAGCGGCGCGCACACCTCGAGGCTCTTCTCTTGCACGGATCTCTCCCAGTCTCCCTCCAGCTGGGCAGGCATTTCACAGCCCTCCTGGGGGCTGGGGGCAGGGAGGCAGGCGGCGGAGGGTTTTGTTTTCCTAGGATAAGAGTTTCATTCACAAGGGGCGGACTTAACTTCTCTGTCAAGATTCTTATCACTTTTAGAGTTTCAGTGGGACAGAGAGGCAGAGAGTGCGAGGCTCGCACTTCTGTGAACAGCATTTTCTATCCAGATGTGACTTGGAGATTGAAAACCAAGACTTACTCGAATGAAACAAGACCACTAGAAAAGGGACGGGAGGCACGATGGTAATAAAAAGAAACGGCTGGGGGCTGTGGACTTCTGTGTCGTAATTACCCTTCTCTTGCATTGTTTCGTGGAGGCTGGTCTGGCTGTTTACCCTACGCCCTAAATTGAATTCCCCCGCAAGGACAGGACTAAACCACAAATGTGGCTTGGGTGTATTAAAATGTAAACCGGTTTAAGATTTCTGCCAGCATTCCACGGAAAGAAAAAAAGGAGGGGGGGTAGTTTTTTTTTCACATGTTCTCCATCTCCTTGTTTCACTTTAGGATCGTGCAATTTATTCCAAGGCGATAGAGAAGTAAAGAGGCATCCGGTAGATGCCGAATAATTTTCATTTGAGTTTACGAACGTTCTTCCTCCCGGTCCTGCAGCGTCCTCGGGGTTGTGCCGACACGCCCGGGGCTTACCTGCCCGCGCGTCTGCAGGAGGGAGGGCTGCGGGAGTGTGCGGCTGGGTGCGAGGCGGTGTGGGCGTGGGGCTGGAGGGTGCGGCCCGGAGAGCCGTTACCTGGGTGAAAAGTAAAGCAAAAACAACCTCCCCACGCTTCCCGCGCGGCGCAGCTGGAAACTCGGTCAGGTCCAGGGCTACATCCTGGAGGATCTCGGGTGAAACCCTGGGCTCCCCGGGGGGTGCGGGCCGGAGGGTGGGGGACTTCCGAGGCTGCCTTCCACGTTGTCACGTGCGGAAGCTTGGCGAAGGGGTGCTCCGAATGAGGTTCGGGGTTGGGGGACACGAACACGGGTGTGGGGGACCTGCAGTTTCACCTGCAGCTCTGAGGCTGTCTGCCCCAGGCATCGGAGGGGCTGCGGAAGCGGACAGATACTCCCGGGGTGTGCAGGGCTGTGTGTGTCAGCGGGGGTAGGGGCGGTGTGGGAGGAGGGGGCGACCCCTCCATTACCGCTGGCCCTAACAGGTTAGGGGGTGCAGGTGCGGGTGTGGGGCTGCCGGCGAGGCCCGGGCTCCCGGGCACGTCTAGCTCTTGCCTCCAATCACCAAACCCTGACCTTCGACCGCCTCTCCCAAGAGGCAGGTGGAAACGGGGGTTTCTGCCCCCGGCCGTGCCCCCAACACGCTAGGGGCGCGCGCCGGTCCCTCCTCCTCCCCGGCGGGCTCGAAACTTGGCGAGCCACCCTCCCCCGTCCACGTTATGTTCGTCCTTGGGCAGCTGAGCAGATCCCTGGTTTTGCCACTTTCGAAGCCGAGACAGCTGGGGTCGAGGAATCGGAACCCGGAAATCGGTTTTAGGGTTCAAATCCAGTTCTGCTGAAGCTCCAAGCTAGTATCTGGGGCCACAGGACCCCACCTTTCCCGACAGCGGGGCTTGAGCGTCGGAGGGATGTTTGAAACTGGGCCTCGTGTCGGCTGCGGTCAGTGCGCCCCCGCTCCCCGCCGTCCTGTCCCAGCCAATTCCGCTCTGGGCGCAAACAAACAAACAAACAAAACCCAAAAGCAAGCAAACAACAACAAAAAACACGTGAAAGGCGAAGAGGGTGGAGACACCCCCCCCCCCCGCGGCAGATCAAAGCACCCTCCCGTCCGTCCGCCGCCCCGGCCCCACTCGTAGCGCCCAAGTCGCCTCTGGTTTTCCAGCTCTCGTCTTTCCGCGCTGCGTGCGTTTCGCGGAGAAGTGCCGGTCCGTTTCAAACGCTTTGCGGTTGTTAAAACAAACCCTAATCGGCACGGTCCTGGCCCTGGCCCTGGCCCTGGCCCCGGCCCGGGAGACCCGCTCCCCGCCGGCCCGGAGGCGCTGCCGCGTGTGCGCCCGTGCGGGGGGCGCAGGCGCTGCGGCTGGGGGCGCCCCGTGCCCGCGAGCGCTGCCCCGCGCGGTAACCGCGTGGGCTCACGCAGGGGGCGTCTGGGCACCTCTCCCACCGCGCGCACCACCGCTCCGGACCCTCCCCGGCTCCCCCACCCCCACCCCCCATTGGGAAGGCGGCGTGCGGCCGGGGAAGGGGTATTTTCCTGAGGCTCCAGAAAATGACCACGCATTTTAGAGGAAGGTCGTGCCCGCTTCCCAGCCTCACCTAGACTGGGCCGCGGCCAGGCCCCGCCCCGCCGTCTCCCCCCATCCCCCAGCCTAGCGGAGGGAGAGATGCCAGCGCAGTGGAGTCATGCCGCTGGCTTGGGCACCATTGGCTCATGCCTGGAACACGCAGCGGCGAGTACGCACATCTGGCGGCCCGCCCGGCCGGCTCCGGGCCTGATATGGAGAGAGAGGGCGGGCGGCTGTGTGTCCCGGCGCAGGACGCCGGGGGAGCGCGGCCCGGCCGGCTCCTCCCCGCGCTTGCATCACCGGGGTCCCCTCCTCCCTTCCCCCGGTGGCCCCTCCCCCGCCCTCCCCCCGGCCCAGCCTAGTTCGGCTGGTTCCCGGGGGAAGCTATTAATAGCATTACGTCAGCCGGACTCGTAACCCGGAGTAAACTGGCCCGCCGCCAGCCGGAGGGCTATAAGAGGGGTGATGCAACGCGCTCGGAGCCACAGTCGCACGCAGCGAGGCGCGCAGTGCCCGGCGCTGTCCCGGCGCCGCCGCCCGAGCCCGAGCCCGAGCCCGAGCCGACCCGCCTGCCCGCGCGCCGGCCGTGAGTCCCGGGGCCCGCCCCGCAGACAGACAGCCCGACCCCGCCCCGACCCCGCCCGCCCTCCGGACCCTGGCCGCCCCGAGTGGAGACGGGAGGTGAGCGCCGCCACGGGGGCCCGCTTTCATTCCGCCTGCGCCCCTCTGACCGCCGGGCCCGCGACCCCGGCGCCCGTGCCCGACCCGCGCGCTCCGCCTCCGGCTGCCGGAGCTTCTCCCCGCCGAGGCCGCTGCTCCTCGGCGCCGCGGGGAGTTTCTCGCAGAGAACTTTCTCTTTTGACTTGGGGCGCGAAAGGTTCGCGGTGACCGAGAGGTCGGGCTCCCGCTCCTCCCCGCGCTCGGCGCTTGCTTACCGCGGCCCGGGCGGGCGCGGGGAGGCGGTGCGCCCGGGCGGCGGAGGCTCCCCGGCTCGCTGGCCCGCTCGTCCTCCGCGTGGAGCCGGGCCCGCGGAGGGGCACCGAGGCCGCCCGCCGACCGGCCGCCCCGGGAGCCCGCCCGAATGAATGGAAGAGGCCGGGCGAGCCGCCGGGGGCGGGGGCGCGGGCGCGGCCGCGCCGGAGGGAGCCCGGAGCGAAACTTACTCGGGATTAAGTTGCGAGGTGGCGAGCGCTCGCGTCGCTGTCCCGGGGCGGAAGGCGGGGAGATCTCCCGGCCCGGCTGGCGTCCAGCCCCTGCGCGGGAGGCTCCCTGCCCCAGGGCTCTCCACGCCTTGCGCCCGTGGCTCTTCCCCGGCGGGCCCGCGGGTCGCTCTGCGTTTCGCCCACGGAGACCCACCTTGGAGGAAGCAAGGGTGCGAAGCCAGCGCAGATAATTGAGAGAATGCCCTTGTGGTCTAGCGCCGGGACCCTGAGAGCTGGTACTGCACTTAGTGCCTTTGAGCCTCAGTGTCCCCAGCTGGGAGAAGTGCTGGCTCCCTCTCTGCCTGTTTGGAAGCCCCAAGTCATGGTTGGGACAGACAACCCTTAAGGTGCTCTCTGGCAGAAGCTTTTCAGATTCCAGGGTGGTGTAACCAAAAGAAAGGGGGCCGGTGAGAAGACTTGAATGACTTGACTGAGGGTCTCCAATGACCCTGACCGGTTTTGGAGGGGATGGGGGGGAGGGGACCTCTCTATGGAGCATGTCTTCCCTTCCTAAACTTCTTTACATTGGTTCCAGTGGTTCTCCTTCTCTGCTCCCTTACACCACATTTTCATTTCATCTACTTCTCTTCTTTCCTCCGAACCATTTACTTTTCCCTGATTCTATTACCGAGATCACATGTGCATCCTTACAATTAAAGGTATTGCTAAACCTTTGATTTAGCAATTTAGGGGGGGGGGGATGTGCTAGAGAGTTCAGGAGGTCTCCCAATGCATCTGTTTCGGTGTAGGTGACAGTCCCATCTGTTGGAGGCCTCCCCATCTTTAAATGAAGGAGAGATTGCTATTACTGCCTTTCTTGTTTTGTATTTAGTATTGGGTGTAGAATAATTCTACAGCATAGAGACTCTTGACTTGAGGATATCCTGGAAAAGACTGGAGTGGCAGAGGGGTTTGTGGTTGTTATCGTTTGGATGAATTCAGAGACAAAGTGACAGGTAACACTCCAGGCTAACAGTGTGGTTAAGATACAGCACCCAGAACCCATGGCAACTGTTGGAACCTTCCCCATCCTTCCTGTCCTAACCTCACCCCTCTTGGCCCTTTTGCTCCATTGTTCTCTTTCTTCTGTGTTCCCTCCCTGCGCCAGTCCCGTCAACGCCTCCTCTGTGGTGGATACCAGTTTACTAAGACTACTGACCCTTCATCTACCTGGCCGGTGGCTCTATTCTCCATTTGCCTTATTGGTTAGTCCTCTTGGTGTTGGATCTCTGTTGGTGGTGAAGCAGAATGAGCAGTGGGTGAGTGGTCAACAGCTTGGTGAGAGCTGAGCCAGTCACCTGCTTTATGGCCAAGTCATTATCCTCCTGGATCTCATGTTACTCAATTGCAAGATGAAGATCTGACCTCCGTTGCCTCTAATATCAGGCATTCTATCCCATTCCATAGAGCCCATGATTTCTTCTCTTTTCAGTGGGCTGGGCATGGAACAGGGTCAATGATTCTAAGTGTTACCCCGCCTGGAGAGGAGGAAGTGCATAACCAGGACAACAGAGAAACCAGAAATGGTTTCATGTGTGAGCACTGGCTATTTCTTAAGTACATAAGAGCAGTAGAAACAAGCTTTTGCCAGCAAATAAATAGTGGGGTAGAACTGACCTGGTGTGTTGGGAGCTCTGGGTCAATCAAAGTGCAAAGGAAACTATGAGTGACCTGAATTTCATTAGGGTTCCAGTTAATTCCTGGAACTAACTAATGAAGCTAACTTGCTTTGACAACAACACTTTGAGTTCCTCCTGAAATGGGGAAAGTGGAATCACAGTAATAATGGCTATCCAGTGGGTGTGTAAATCCACCTGCGTGACTCTTGTTTGGTCTTCTTGGACTGCTCTGTGATGGTGCCGGGGCGATATTGGTCTCATTTTACAGATGAGGAGACTGAGGCCCAGAAAGTATGAGTGGCTTGTCAGTGGGGTCTCAGCTTGTGAGTGGTAGTGATCATAGGCCTGTTCATGAAGCCCCAGCCTTACACCAACAATTTTTAGGTAGGCTGGGAGAAAGACCAAGATAGGAAGTTAGTGAAAGATCACTATTGGCTTCCTATACCGTGAGATGTTTTACGAGCAGCACTTAGTGTGAAGAGATGAAAATTAAAAGTGAAAACACAGCGTAGTTGTAACTACTAGGAAATAAAATCTGGGAGTTGAATTTCCAGTTAAAGAAATACATGAGTAAAGTTTCACTTTCTTGAAAATGATGAAACTGCCAAAGATATGACATGGTTTCTGATTGAAGATAATGAAGCAAAAGCAAAATGCAGGTTCTTAGCAAGTCTGGGCAATTTTAAGATCAATGTGGAAAGCCAACTCAGAAAAATCCCCACACAGATTTTTTTGTTCTTCAGTGAGGGGGAATGTTGGCAGCTCTCGACCTTCAGAAAAGTTGTCTGAAGATGTAACTTCATTGTCCCCGTAGGGACACAGCCTGAGTCTGGGCTGAATCAGACCTTAAGAGAATCAGTAAAGGAGTAACTAGAAAGTATCTGAAGAAATTAAGCTTTAGCAGAATGCAGAGAAAGCTCACATCTCTACAGATACAGCTGCTCTCCTTTCCGAAAGGCTTTTAGCATTTTTAGCACCCATTTCCATCCCCCAAGTGAGCCCACCCAATGCTTTTCATAAAAAACATTCCATACCACTGACATTCTTCAGTTTCTTTCATCGGGACTGCTGACTTTAAGAAGGAAAGAAACCAGTCCCAAACAGCAGACCCCAAGCCCCGAGAGCTCATTAATAAACTTAACTGGGGCTGAAACAGGACTGTACTCCACTGCAGTGGAATTCAAACTACCCTTGCACAGCAGAGCCATCCAGGCCCCCAAACAAAGGCCAGCCCAGTGGTAGCTCTGAATTCCATCCCTGAACTACTGGGTTTTTTAATCAAATTGGTTAAGGAAGGGAAAACATGAATGCACGGGAGAATCTTAAGCCTCGGGCTTTAGAAGGCTGGTTTCTCCAGAGTTCATCACCTGCCGAGAAGTATCCTCCCTCCGTCCTAAGATGATACGATTAAATTGTTAGAGGGACACCAGTTCTGGCTCACAACACAGGGCTTTGGGAAGAGAATTACATACGTTTCCCAGATTTCTTTGAAGAGTCGGTAGTGGTATTGGTTGGCCTGGAATTCTTGCCTCCCTCGGTGTATTTCAGATCTTAAGGGGGAGTCAGTTAAGAGGCAGGCCAGGATGCTCTGTTCAGAAGTGTTTAAGGTCACAGAGAGTGACGAGCCACCCTGCCACCATGACCCCACAGAGCCAGCGGGGTTGGAGGGATCCCTGGGAGGCTTCCCAGTTGCCTTATGTTTTCCAGGGCACGTTCATGCATTACTTCCTCAACTCCTTGCACAACTCCGGGGGTCCCCAAGTCCTCACTTTTTCTTCCGTTTGCTGATAACACATTCAACCTGATTTCAGATACCTTCCAAGTTTCTTTGCAAAATAGAGACTGAAAATGGGGTTACGTAAGAGTCTCACTGTTTTTTCTTTTTTTTTCTTTAAAAGCTCTTCCTCTTTCAGGACTGTTTGAGGCTGCATTTGCATATATGCACACCAGCCAAAACTTACAGCTTCTTTAACTCAGAATAGCCTGAAATGCCACCTCTGGTAAACTTCAAGTAGGCATTTTATCCACATCACTGAGCTGTGTATCTTAAGAACCTGTTTTACCCAAGATGAGGATGGCATGAAATGAAAACAAAACAGAAGCCTGAAGGCTTTCGCGACCTTCCTCTGGGGGTACAGCTCTGGTGTTGGAGGCCACAGGTGTGGGGAGACTTGATCCCGTACCCCTAAATCCCTGAAGTAGTTTGGGTCTCGATATTTCTTTCAGCAAAATGATGCTTCAACACCCAGGCCAGGTCTCTGCCTCGGAAGTCAGTGCGTCGGCCATCGTCCCCTGCCTGTCCCCTCCTGGGTCACTGGTGTTTGAGGATTTTGCTAACCTGACACCCTTTGTCAAGGAAGAGCTGAGGTTCGCCATCCAGAACAAGCACCTCTGTCACCGGATGTCCTCTGCACTGGAGTCGGTCACCGTCAGCGGCAGGCCCCTTGAGATGACAGTCACAAAAACTGAGGTAGGTCCTCTCCGAGGTGCCCGTTCTTCCAGGGCTTATTCACCATCTACCCACCATGCCAGGCATGCTCCGGGCGTGGGGCTGCACAGAGTGTAGTGACTGTGTTCATCACTGCTGGGACCTGGGCCGCCAGACTGTGGAGCAGGGACCAGCCAGCCATGCTCACCACCCTGGTAGCAGCTTCTGCTCCAGGTTCACTTCTATCTCTGCCATTTGCATTCTTCCCCATCGAGCAACCTTTTATGAGACACCTGGAGTCACATATGTGGCGACAGTCTTGAGAGGTGCCTGCTGGGGATGCAGTGGTGGCTGGAGGACCTCAGAGTGGAGGTCTTGGCTACTCCGTGGGCCTTCCCCTCATGGATAAAAGATGAGAGTGTATCATGCTTACTTAATTGCCACGATCACTGTCTTTGGTCAAGGGTAAGTGGAACTGGCCAAAAAAGAACTGAGTTTAAAAGGAAGTTGGTTATGAATCTTTATGATTCTATAAAAGGGGGTGGGGATAATAGTGACTCCTGCATGGGACTGATCTAAGGGTTAAACAAGATGGCATTTGCTAGGGGTCTAGCTGATGGTCGACATTTGATGACTGGTAGCCAGGACTACCATATGACGCTGTATCCAGACGGCATCATTGGAGGCATTGCCTGAGCTCCAGTTAACCTTGGGAGGTCATCATTGCCTTCTCTAATACTGCACAGTGCTAGGTGGGCCATGGGACACACAAGGATTTTTTTTTTAATTCTTCAAACATCTTGAGTTATCTCAAGATAATCTCATGTCATGAGAAGTAGTAGGATCCCCACAGAAGAAAGAAAAGAATTTTGCAAGGGTATTTGGTGGGTTCTTCATAGGAAAAAGCAGATGTCCAGGGCAGAGGACATCCAAAATATTTCCTGCTCCTTGAAAAAACTCTTTAGAGCCACCCAACTCATCCACTGATTGCGTGTTTACTAAGTGACCTTCTGATCTTAGGTCAGTTTCACAAGTAAGTTCTCCTATTGGGAAGAGAATGTACCAACTGACCTTATTAATTATTCAGGTCCCCTTAGTTTGCTGCAATTCTCATCTTAAAATAAAATTCTGAGCCTATGAAACCCATACGCATCCTGTACGTTTGGGCAGTTGGAGTCTGTTCCACCGGGTCCCTGTCACCTCTGGGAAGAAGGCAACAGGTGGAATGAGGTAGTATGTCCCGGAGAAGGCACAAGACAAGGAGCCAAAGGCCTGGGTTTACACCCAGACTTTGTAGCCTACTGCTCTGGTGACCAGGGGGTAGTGATTCTTGGGCCTCCCTTGATGCACTGCTCCTGGCCACTCTTTGTGCCTTCTTTCTACATCATACAGTGAGGGGATTAAACTGAATGGTTTTTGAAAGCCTTTTCCATCTCTGACAGTGTATGATTCTGAGATTTGCTCTACTTTCAAGTACTTCCTCATGTGAGAAAAACCCTGAATCCTCTCCCATCTATCCCAAAGGATCTGTAGGGTTGCACAGGAAGTATTATAATTGCCGAGTAGTTGATGAAGGTATTGATGGTGGGGTTAATAATGATAGTCACTGAGGCTTACATATAGCACTGGCTATAAGCCAAACACTGCAGAGCATTTTAATCTTACATATATCTGACTTAATTTGACCTTCCTCATAACCTTATTGATAGATAAGACAATTGATCCCATTTTACAAGTGAGGGAAACAGGCTCAGAAGAGTATGGTAACTTGCCCAAGGTCCCTCAGCTAATAGGTGGTGAAGCTGGGATTCAGAGCCAGTTTAGTTTAACTCAAATGTCTCTGCCTGTGGGGCTCTGGGATCCAGGATGTGAAAGGTGGAACTGCCCCTTGCCCTGCTTTCCCCCTCAGACTTTGTTTCTCTAAACTGTGAGGCCTCTCAATCACTGCAAGCTAAGTCACTGTCATTGATCCAAAGGACTAGTAATAAGACAGGTCTGAGGGGATTACTGTATCCCAGGATTTCTTTGGTTTGAGGTGTGGCCTCCATGTCCTTTCCTGCTATCCAGAGCAGTGAGTGACAATAGCGGCCTAGACCATCACCACACCCACTCAAGCCCATGCCTGTGGCCTCAAAGCCAAGCCCAGCAGCTGAACTTCATAGGTTTCCCATCCGTCATGAGACAAAGTCAGGATCAGAGCCAACTTCTGTAGAAGACCAGATCCTAAAGCAGGACAGGGTTTTGTTCTCTGAGGACCCCCATGGCTGACTCAGGGTAGGGCACAGAGGAAAGGTCAGTATTTGTTTGCTGGATGAATCAATGGTTGGTTCATGTTCACCACCCACAGGTGGCACCAAGCCCATAGGCTGATAATGCCACTTTGTTTGGGGAATGCGCTTGGGTTCTTTTCCAAGGGCTCCATGGGCTTCTTTTGAATTCATGAAAGAGGTGCTTTTATGCTCTGGGTGAAGGTGGAGGTGGATGGGGGTGCCCTTGGGTCTCAAATCAAAGAAGAGGCAGGAGGGGAGGGGTGGCTAGGTGATGTTCCTGAGGTCATTCCTGGATCCAGGAGAAAGGACATACCTACCAAACAGAATCTATTTTCTGCCCTAAGCGATTGACAAGTGTTATAGACAATTATCATTTTGGATATACAACTCATTTCAAAATCCAAATGCACTTTTTAAATAAACTGAATTTTAACTGACTAATATTGCCAATGTAACTTTAACTGGTAGTTCTTCGATTTTGTTTTTTTCATTCGTTCCTGTGGCTGTGTGGAGGGGATTAAGGTAAGAGGCTGGGACCTGACTTCTTCAGCCCTCCTCGCAGGGGGGCTGTCCTGGTTTGCCAGTTTTTGCTGCAACGAAAGGCAGTGCGTTGAAGGCGGGTTGTAATTCTTGCCTCCCATTAAGTGTGTGGTCTCTTGAATTTTATAGGTAGCCCCTGAAGAAGATGAAAGGAAAAAGAGGCGGCGGGAAAGAAATAAGATTGCAGCTGCCAAGTGCCGCAACAAGAAAAAGGAGAAGACAGAGTGCCTGCAGAAAGTGAGTCTGCCCCGGGGCACCTGGGTGCTGCAGTCGGTGAAGCGGCTGACTGGGTTTCAGCTCAGATCATGAGCTCCTGGGTCGTGAGATAGAGCCCTGCAGCGGGCTCTACGCTGAGTGGGGAGTCTGGTTACGGATTCTCTCCCTCTGCCCCTCCCCCACTCACTCTCTCTGGCTCTCTAAAATAAATAAGTACATCTTTTAAAGAAAGAAAAGGAAGGAAGAAAGAAAAAGAAAGGAAGGAAGGAAGGAAGGAAGGAAGGAAGGAAGGAAGGAAGGAAGGAAGGAAGGAAAGAGAGAGAGAGAGTCTTCCCCTTCTGGCCCCCTCCTCTTGCTCATGCCTGCCCCTGCCAACCTCATGTTCCCGTCACAAAGAGAGTCCAAAAACGCCCTGCCTAGAAGTCTCCCAAGAAGGATGTGTAGCTGGTAACAGAAAGGCCAGTTGCTGAATGAGGAGGTAACAAAGCTGTTAGCACCATCGAAGGGGACTCTGGTTGTAGAAGCAGCAGGTGTGTGAATTAAAAACCACAGATCGTCTGCTGCCCAGATTCCCAGCAGTCTTGGCTCGTCCATACACGTCCAGCAGCTTCCAGGCTGCAGGATATGTCAGCCCAGTTAAAGAAGCTTCACTCACCCGTTTTTACCGAGAAAAGGAAGCAGCCAGTTCTCACTTGGCTCAGTATGAAAAGCCTTTAATTAATCTCTTCAAACAAGTTATTTCCTTAAACTGCAAGCAGTGGTTACACTCTTTTTCTTGGCCCTCTTGTGTGTTGGTAACTCTGACTCCCTTGTCCTGGGCTCTTCCCATAGTCTGAGCTCGCGGCTGTGTTCAGCTAATTCCCCTTCTGAGGGGAGAGGTACAGGTGGGCACAGCATCTCTGGGCAGGTGGGGCAGGCCGTAGCACAGTCCTGTGGCTGTGTCCCCTTCCCCCAGGTGTGGACAAGCCAGCGCTGAGTCTCTCCCCAGGTCCTCCAGGACCCCAAGGATTCTGTTGATTGCTTCAAGGGAGGTGGTGAAAATTGAGACCTTTTGTGTGTGTTGCCATGTACATTTTTTCTGGGGAGGTGAACCTCTCACTGAAGTTGGTGACTCACGAGAGCCTGAGTACCATGAGTTTGCATTTCTGCCCAGCCCTCAAGGCCCTCGGGGGGCCGGGAGAGCTGCACGGGGGCTGTTGGACATACACAAAGGAGATCGGTGAGCTGTCGGTTCTGCAGCAGCCTCCTTACCATGAGAGTCACAATCCACCCTCAACCTTCAGTGGAAACTCAAGGGCATCTCTAGAAGCCTCCAAGTTCAAAGGCTTCTCTCCAGGGTCTGGGTTCTCCCAGACCTCATGCTGTTGTCCCAGCTTTGCGGGGTTGCTGGACCAGCGAGCCCATGGCACTCCCCTCCGCAGGCCATCCCCAGCTTGATGAACTCCCGAAGATGTGTGGCCACTCCCCCCCCCCCAAGGCCAGCCCCTCTTCACTGGAACCATGGCTTCTTGGCTAATAATTCTGTTGCTTGTCCCCCAGGAGTCGGAGAAGCTAGAGAGTGTGAACGCCGAACTGAAGGCCCAAATCGAGGAGCTCAAGAATGAGAAGCAGCATTTGATATACATGCTCAATCTTCATCGGCCCACGTGTATTGTCCGGGCTCAGAATGGGCGGACTCCAGAAGATGAGAGAAACCTTTTTATCCAACAGATAAAAGAAGGAACATTGCAAAGCTAAGCAGTTGTGGTATGGGGGCAACTGGGGAGTCCTCATCGAAACCTACTACATCCCAAACCCTGAAGCCATTGGAGATCTGACTTCCTGTGCACCTCTCGCATCCTGGCAGTGAAGGACCATCGAGGCGGGAGAGCCCTTGATGACTTAGCTGGGCCTTTCCTCTCTGCACCAGAGTGGACTTTGGACCAGGGCAAGGGCATCTTTTGTCTCAATGCCAAGATTTAGGCCTTAACTTACTGGCTATTCTTGGATGCTGTAGATGGCCCCTGGTTAGGGTCTTGCCCATCTTTTGCCTGGATTCTACAGAAACCAGGACTCTCACCATTAGGACTCATGCTCAAGAAGTGTCTGTACCTTGGGTGGGTGGAGTGGGGCCACGTCCTGCGCCGCCACTACCACTGTCACTCCTCGGGGACATAGAGTGAGAATGGCATTTAGTGAAGTTGTACAATGGCCAGGGTTGTGCTTTCTAGCAAACATGCTGTTATGTACGGGAATTACTGTGTGCAAGGCATTTGTGTCAAAGCTAGGCATTGTGCTCTTCTGATGTTTGTTTTGCACAACACCGGTGTGATTTTCCTCAGATCTGGCTGCTGAGAGTTTGAGGGGGCTATCACCATATGCAGTGTCTTACAAAACGTTGAAGTGGCCAGAAGAGCTCATCAGCTCCGGGAGAACAGAATTCTGCTGGCGAGCAGTGCAGTTTTGTGTCAACAGAGAAAGCTGCCTTTCCCGTGGCATCCAGGCATTAACGCAGAGTTCATGGGCATGACTGCAGGTCCTCTGTCACAAACTCAGTTATAATGTCACAGGAAGAAAGCAGAAAGTCCAACTTCCAAAGGGCTAGGACTCTCCACTCAGTGACTTAGGTCAGGAGTTATTTCTAGGCCAGCAGAGCCAAAGAATATTCCATTTTCCTTTTCTTGCAGTTGCAAACCACATTCAGTGGAGACAAGTTTGAAGCCAGGTGATGCCTAGGCTTTAGCATTATTGGATGTTAATGGCATTGTTTGTCAGGCGGATGTTTGTAGAAATCTGGCCCAGAGCATTTATTGCTGTGAGAGGTCATTCACACTGGCCATAGGACTCTGGCTACTGTCTGTTTAAATTCTGATGTTTCTGTGAAATCCTCAGAGTGTTTAATCCTACTTAATAGTGTCATTACAATTTTCTGTAAGAGAATATATTACTTATTTATCCTAGTATTCCTAACCTGTCAGTACAATAAATATTGGAACCAAGACGTGGTAAACTTAAGTGTTGTACTGGTTTCTGTTCTTTTTAAATCAGTTGCTCTTTGAAATCTAGTCATTCCCCATCCCCTCCCTCTCCATTGATGGGGAGGGGCGTTTAGCTTAAAAATTCTCCCAAGTGTCATCCCTTTGCTCTTTGGGGGGCCAGCAGGTGAGATCGTTGACTTTCAACCCTGTTCCTTAGTCTGTGGCATTGGATGATGCTCAGTTTCTCATTGACAAGCCCTGGAACACGGCGCCAACCAAGTATAACCTTTAGGCCGTTTGGTGTCAAGATAGAGGTTTGATATAAAATCCCAATTGCAGGGCAGCCCCGGTGGCTCAGTGGTTTGGCACTGCCTTTAGCCCAGGGTGTAATCCTGGAGTCCTGGGATCGAGTCCCACATCGTGCTCCCTGCACAGAGCCTGCTTCTCCCTCTGCCTGCGTCTCTGCCTCTCTCTCTCTCTCTCTCTCTCTCTCTCTCTCTCTCTCTGTGTGTGTCTCTCATGAATAAATAAAATCTTTAAAAAATAAAAATAAAATAAAATCCCAATTGCTAAATACCTCGACTGTGTTTCTCGGAATGTACAGACGCTGAAAACGTAGACCTGATGTTCACCTTGACACCGTACATTTTGCCACGGAACACCTCTTATTTGCTCAATTACATCAATTATGTCCACACATGTGTCTGATTGTTGCAGGTATGTCTTTCAAATATGAGGAAAGAACAGAGGGAGGAAGAGAGGGCGAGAATCATTTTAGACGGGATAGGTGTGACAATACAAAGAAAGGCATCCCACCTGATTTTCTGGAATCTCGAGGGCATCTGATTCCTTAGGTCTAGAATGGAACGAAGCCCCCTTACTCTTCGCCCGTGCACACAGGTATCCCTCACAGGCTAGGAAATAACAACTGGCTACTCTCCTACTGATGTCGTTCTTCAGAGAGATATTAGCTTCGTTAAATGGTAAGATTCACCTACCTGAATGGGGAGCCTGCTCCCTCGAACTCAAGTATGTTTCCTTTAAACTATCACCTGTGACACAAGTGTCCTCTTGTTGCGGCTTTATTTGCACATCAGGGATACTTCCCAATCTGTAAAGAGCCATCTGGTGGAAGTGCCATTCGCCACAGCTTTCAGGAGCTCATCTATTTTTTTTAAGGGAAGGGGGGCAAATTCCTTGCATTTTACCCTCTAGTTGTAGGTGTAGATGCCACCAATCAGCTGTTAGAAAACTCAAGACAGTTTGTGAGTGGCCGCAGACAACAATGAATTGGCAAGAAAGTGGTGGTGGCTATGGCCAAAAAACTTGATCCCAAAAATACACTGTATATGGTTAGTGGAACTGAAAGCTCCGTTTACCGAGTGCGTTAAAAACAGTTTTGTCTTCTAGGGCCAAGTTTTGATACTTTTTAATTTGAAAAAAGGATGAGGGGGATCCCTGGGTGGCTCAGCGGTTTAGCGCCTGCCTTTGGCCTAGGGCGCCATCCTGGAGTCCTGGGATCGAGTCCCGCGTCGGGCTCCCGGTATGGAGCGTGCTTGTTCCTCTGCCTGTGTCTCTGCCTCTCTCTCTCTCTCTCTCTCTCTCTCTCTCTGTCTGTCTATCATAAATGGATAAATAAATCTTAAAAAAATAAAAATAAAAAAATTTTAAAAGGATGAATGTTTACTATCCAATTGTTTAGTTCCTCTTGTTTCACATTGGATGAAGAGGGCAGGTTGGGAGAGGCTGAGGGTTTAAGCTCAGGTGGGACCTCCATCAGAGCCAGACACCTGGCTTGACAGTGTCTTTCCACCAGGCTGCCCCCTGCTGGGTGGTGATGTCACACTGGCCTGGCACCAGGAGCCCACCCTGTCTCTTGTCCTCACCTCACCCTTGTCCCCTTGCCTCTCCCTGACATCTGGCCTGACACCTCCTTCATTTTTTTTTATAAATTAATTTTTATTGGTGTTCAATTTACCAACATACAGAATAACACCCAGTGCTCATCCCGTCAAGTGTCCCCCTCCGTGCCCGTCACCCATTCACCCCCACCCCCCGCCCTCCTCCCCTTCCACCACCACTAGTTCGTTTCCCAGAGTTAGAAGTCTTTATGTTCTGTGTCCCTTTCTGATATCTCCCACACATTTCTTCTCCCTTCCCTTATATTCCCCTTCACTATTATTCATATTCCCCAAATGAGTGAGAACATACACTGTTTGTCCTTCTCCGATTGACTTACTTCACTCAGCATAATACCCTCCAGTTCCATCCACATTGAAGCAAATGGTGGGTATTTGTCATTTCTAATGGCTGAGTAATATTCCATTGTATACATAAACCACATCTTCTTTATCCATTCATCTTTCGATGGGCACCGAGGCTCCTTCCACAGTTTGGCTATTGTGGACATGGCTGCTAGAAACATCGGGGTGCAGGTGCCCCGGCATTTCATTGCATCTGAATCTTCGGGGTAAATCCCTAACAGTGCAATTGCTGGGTCGTAGGGCAGGTCTATTTTTAATTCTTTGAGGAACCTCCACACAGTTTTCCAGAGTGGCTGCACCAGTTCACATTCCCACCAACAGTGTAAGAGGGTTCCCTTTTCTCCATATCCTCTCCAACATTTGTTGTTTCCTGCCTTATTAATTTTCCCCATTCTCACTGGTGTGAGGTGGTATCTCATTGCTGACACCTCCTTCAGAATAAAGAGTTTTAAAGGGTTCTGGCCCCGGGGGGGATTTTGGAATTCAAACTTTCACTTTCTGCCAAGAGCTAAAATGCTATTTTCCGTCTTGATCCTAATTTCTCCCCATGGACTTTGAAGAACCCCAAACCCATGGTAAACCATCCCATGCTCTGGTTGTGTTCAGTTTCTCTGTGTTGTCATGGATCAGCCTGAGGTAGAACCTCAGAGGAGGTCAGTTTTGCCCATTGAGCATCCCTTCTGTGATCCCGTAGTGGCTCTAACCCCAGACGCTTCCCCACTTGTCCTCTCAAAAACTGCTCTTAGGAAGGAATTCACACGGAGGCTTCAAGGGCCGGTGGGGGATGAATGCTAATAAGGACTACTATGTATTGAGTTAGACAATATGCTCAACACTTCACATGCATTATCTCATCGAATCCTCACAGCAACTATTATCCCCATTTTACAGACGAGGAAACGGAAAGCTGAGTTGCTTGCTCTACGTCACACACCACTGACCTTTCTAAAGGATTCTGAGCAGTAGTGGATATTTGTGTGTGAGAGAGAGAGAGGAAATAACACACCATAAAATCTACTGTTATACCCATTCTAGAGAGTATAAAATTCAACACATTCACAATGCTGTGACCATCCCCACTATATAGCTCCAGAATCTTCATCCCCCACAAGATAAATCCTGTATCTATTAAGCATCACTCCCTACTGTCCCCTCCCTCCAGCCCCAGGCAACCACTAATCTGTCTTTGGATTTGCCTCCTCTGCATATTTCATATACTTGGAATCATATGGTATGTGGCCTTTTGTGTTTGGCTTCTTTCACTTAGCATCATGTTCTCAGGATCCATCGATGTTGTAGCAGGTACCAGTAACCTCATTTCCTTTTCACAGCTGAAAAACATCCCACTGTATGGACAGACCACATTTTCCTTATCCATTCACGTGTTGATGACCAGGTATGTGTATTTTAACAGAAAGATAGCCTTTCTTTTCAAGGAATAAATCTCTAATGTAGGATGTCAGGCGTAACATCAAACTGGGAGATAGGAGTTGGGAGCAGATATCTTTCTCAGAACTTTCTTTTTAAAAACAAACAGGGCAGCCCCGGTGGCTTAGCGGTTTAGTTTCGCCTTTGGCCCAGAGCGTGATCCTGGAGACCCGGGATCGAGTCCCATATCGGGCTCCCTGCGTGGAGCCTGCTTCTCCCTCTGCCTGTGTCTCTGCCTCTCTTTCTCTCTAATAAATAAAAATAAAATCTTTAAAAAATAAAAACATTAATTTGAGAGAGCACAAGTGGAGGGGGGTGCAGAGGAAGCAGCAGACACCCCTCCCTCCCCCCGCTGAGCAGGGAGTCTGACATGGGACTCGATCCTAGGACTCCCAAGATTATGACCTGAGCTGAAGGCAGACACCTGAGCTGAAGGCAGGCGTTTAACCTACTGAGCCACCCAGGCACCCCCTTCTCAGGGCTTCCAGTAGCAATTTAGAAATCACACATTCTGTGGCTAGCTCTGTGGGAGTGGCAATAAGCAGGAGGTCTAATGCTACACACTCCCCATAGGTGTTATTGCTTCCAAACCACTTCCGCATGGTAGGGAAGTTGCTGCAGGAGGATGTTTTCCAGGCTCTTGGAATTGAAGATGACATCTCAGCCCCCCTACTTCATTTCACTAGGGAAGAAGGGAAGAAAACCGAGGGTCTTGAGAGAGAATAACGAAGTTCAGCACCCGGGCTGTTTGTTCTGTGAAGTCAGGCCAATGATACCACCTCCATGTCTTCACCTGTGAAACAACAGTACCAAACTCAAAGGATTCTCATGGTCGTGTGTTGGTCATGTGTGAAGAACATAGCGTGGTGCTGAAGCGATGCAGTTTTATTTTTTTAAGATTTTATTTTTTTTATTCATGAGAGACAGAGAGAGGGAGAGGCAGAGACACAGGCCGAGGGAGAAGCAGGCTCCGTGCCGGGAGATCGTCGCGGGACTCGATCCCGGGCCTCCAGGATCACGCCCTGGGCCGAAGGCAGGCGCTCAACTGCCGAACCACCCGGGCCGCCCAGCGATGCGGTTTTAAATGTCGTTCTCAATGGCTGTGTTTGCTGTGTTTACCGTGTTTACTGTGATATTATGAAAGGGCAGGCAAAGGGCCAAGGCTGCCAAGTCTAGGTTTGTGGATAAAATGAAACCATGGGTCAAATGTAGCACATCATCTTACATTCCTACAGATTTTGTCCGGTTGCTGAATCTTTTGAATTTGAGGTAGGAAAAAAAAAAATCCCCACACAGTATGTTTCCATTTGAAGAAGTTTTTATTTTGATACCACCTGAGTCCCTGGCAGGGTGGACCTGTCCTCTGTGGGGGTAGTGGGTAGTGGGGCGTTTGTGGGGACGATGGTGGCCCTGCCCTGAGGGGGTGTCTGGGGGATGGGGACAAAGGGGTATGTGACAGTGACAGGTCACAAAGGGCAGCAGAGGATAAATATGGCTGCGCTGGGGCTTAGGCCAAGAGAGTGGTCACTGCCATCTCTCAGGAAGATTAAAAATCCGGAGCAGAGGTGAGGTGGAAAATCCCACCATCCATCTCTACACCCTTGCAGAGATTCAGTCTGAGGTCCAGGCACCCTACAGCATCCCCTCTGCAGTCTTCAGAGCCCCCACCCCGACCCCTGCCATCCCTCTGGGAGGCTCTGAGGCAAAGGGAGAGCCTGTGGGGTGGGGTGGGGTGGAGACACCTGCCGGAGGGCCACCCCTGGGGCACAGGAGCGCTGCTGCAGCCTGTGCGGAGGAGGCTGAGGAACAGGAGATCCAGGGACCCCCCGCCCTTGCCATCACTGCTTGTCACACGAGGTAGTCATGAACACCGAGTCCCTGCTCCCCTACCACACGGCCCAGAGCGGCTCGGGAGTGGGCATGTTCAACACCACCATGGGGAAGCTGCAGCGACAACTGCACAAGGGCGAATACGACATATTCAAGCATGCGCCTATTTTTGAAAGCGACTTTATCCAGATTACCAAGAGGGGAGAAGTCATCGATGTGCACAACCGGGTGAGAATGGTGACGGTGGGCATTGCATCCACCAGCCCGATCCTGCCGCTCCCGGACGTCATGCTGCTGGCCCGGCCGGCCGCGGGCTGCGAGGAGCACGGCGCGCGGGGCCAGGCCGCCAAGGGCAAAGGCCGCAAGGCTGCAAAGGCCTTGGAGCTCACCAGGCTCCTTCCGCTGAAGTTCGTGAGGATCTCCATTCACGACCGTGAGAAACAGCAGCTGCGCCTCAAGTTCGCCACGGGCCGCTCGTGCTACCTGCAGCTGAGCCCACCTCTGGACGGGCGGGAAGACCTCTTCGCCCACTGGGAAAAGCTCATCTACCTCCTGCGGCCACCGGTGGACAGTAACAGCAGCACCTACGCCATCCCGGCGGGGGACATGCTGTGCATGCCCGTGTTTGAGGAAGAGGACGCGAGGAGCGCGGCAGGGGCCGATTTCCAAGGAAAAGGGGATCAGGACCAGGTCAGCATCCGGAGCCTCCACGTGGTCTCCGAGGTGACCGGGGCCACCTCTGCCGCTTTTGCTGGCGGGGAGGGGACCCCTCGGGACGCCCACAAACCCTCCCGGAGCACGCACGCTGCAGAGCTCGCCCTGGGGTCGGCGGCAGGTGCAGCGGCAGGTGCGGCGGCAGGTGCAGCGGCGGCGGCGGGGACAGCAGCGGGGTTCGCGACGGCGGCGGCGGCGGCGGCGGCGGCGGGCACCGCGGCAGGTGCACTGGGCGTGGCCGTCTCCAAGCCTGGGGGCGCCCCCGAACAGCCCGCGGGGCCCGGAGCGGGGAGCAGACCCAGCCTCGCCTTCGCGGGCGCCGCCAGCGCGTCCCCCAAGAGCGCGGCAGCGGCCGTGGCAGGTGCGGCCAAGACCCCGGGCTTCCCTTCGGACTCGTCCACCAGCCTCTCCCCGGAGCCCAGCAACGCCCTGGCGTTCGCCGGGGCGGGAGAGGCGGCGCAGGACGCGGCGGCGGCCCCGCTCCCCCAGGAGCCGGCGGGAAGGGGCCGCGGGGGCCGCAGGGAGCGGAGGGAGCGGCGGGAGAAGGAGCGGGCCCGCCGCGGATCGCGCCGCCGCAGGCCCGCCGACGGCCGCCACAAGGCCTCGGGGGACAAGGCCCCCCGGAAAGCCTCCAGCCGGGCCTCCGCCGGCCACAGGGCCGCGCGCGAGGACAAGGAGCGGGGCCGCCGCAGCCCCGGGGGCGCCCCGCGCGCGCAGCACACGGGCGGCCGCGCCCCCACGGCCACGGAGTCCCGGACCTCGCACAGGTCGGGGCGCAGCGTGTCCACCGCCAGCGCGGGCTCCGCCCCCAAGAGGCTCAGCAGGATCGGCTTGTTCCTGAGGAACGTCAGGGCCAACCTCGCGACGCGCGCCGTGGCCTCCGCGCGCCGCAGAGGCGTGGACGCGCTGGCCAAGACCGCGGAGGGCGGCGGCGTGGAGGCCGTCCTGGAGCCCGCGGAGCGGCCAGGGCCCGGCGTGCGCGGGGCGCGGGACCCAGGACGCCCTGGAGACAGCGACCTTCGGAGCCCCTTTCGGCAGCTGCACCCCACCCCGGAGACCCCATTCCAGCTTTCCTCCCTTCCGTTGAAATAAAAAAATAAAAATAAAATAAACGAAAACATAGGATCTGAGAATGGCATGCTGCGTTCTGCCTGAATCTCTAAGTCCTGCAGCCCAATAGGGGCCTCAACAGGGGGTTCCGTGAGGTCCTGCAGTCCAGTTAGAGCCTCACATGGGTTCTGCGTGAGGTCAGCCGGGCTGCCACCCGAGACCCCAGGGTCTAGTCGAGGGCAGCCCCCACCTCACACCCATGCTCAGAGCCAAAGGGGTGCTGCCTCATCTTGCCCCCAAGGCCTGTGTGGCTTGGTCCTCAGGGCCACGGTTGAGAGTCAGTCTAGGGCCTGGAAAGCTCTGGAAAGCTCTTCTACCTCCACCATTTCTCTGTTTTTATAAACACAGGTCTGGGAGGTCCGCAGACCAAGTAAGAGCAGGTTAGTCAATGGAGGGAAGAGGGGTACCGCAGCATTTCTTGGCAATCAAAACAGGGAGGATTCTCAGACTTAGCAAGTTCTTTCCTTGGTATATATACCTTGGAGAGACGCCTGTTTTAAGACGCTTATAGAATGTTTCAAAACACTGCAAGTGGTCCAAATTACCATCAGCACAATTGATAATAGAATAGAATGTGAATAGAGAGATTGACTATACATTGACAAAGTTATTTGAACTGTTCTTTTTTTCTAAGTATACTTTTTTTAATTTTTATTTATGACAGTCACACAGAGAGAAAGAGAGAGAGAGGGGCAGAGACACAGGCAGAGGGAGAAGCAGGCTCCATGCACCGGGAGCCCGACGTGGGATTCGAGCCCGGGTCTCCAGGATCGCGCCCTGGGCCAAAGGCAGGCGCCAAACCACTGCGCCACCCAGGGATCCCTATTTGAACTGTTCTATAATATTCTATAGTCGTCAATCTCTATGTCAATGTATATCGACATGTATAATGTATGTTATAGAACACTTTAAATGACTTTGTCAAATAACTGTGACAAAGACAAAGGAATAGTAAACACAAAACTCGGGACAATGGTTTTCTCCAGGGTGGAAAGGCAAGACAGGGTCACAAGGTACACACAGGAGATGTGTGTCATAGTGCTTTCACATTACGGCAGAATGGTCCTAGACTTGCTGTGGCAGTTATGATGAAGTTACTGCTTTGGACACACCTTAACCAATGCCTTTTCCTTTAAATTGGGTTCCGGGTTCTTAATCATCTATACCTACAATAAATGGATCTATACCTACAATAAATGGAATTTAACTCATTTGTTTAATATCTCTGTTGTACAGATACAAACACTGGGGCTCAGAAAAGTTAACTTGTTCTTGGCGCCACACAGTAGAACCTTTGCAGAACAGTGATCCGCTTCTTTTTGCAAAGCATTCCCACCCCCTATGTTCCAAAACTCTGCATCAAATGTACTGGATTAAAGGCAAGGAGGGATGGGAGCTGGGAAACTCCTGACAGTGAGCCGCCGTGAGCTGGTTTTTGAATTCAGTGAGCTCACAGCCCTCAGCTGGCCTTATCTCGAGAGTGTCCAGACCACCCTTAAGCAGCATCTGGCTTGGAGTCTTCTATCCCTAGCCTCTGTGTGACCTGAACTACAGACATAAACAGACCTCCTGCCTGGGATTCCAGGGACCAGTCTGGAATCTCCCTATAATCCTCCCACAGACACTAATTAAACTTTGGTATGGAGAAACCATGTAAAAAAGTTTCTGGGGTTCAGAAAACAAATCCTTACACCTCACATGAAGTCACAGCATCCGTGTTGCTTGGACCTTCAGTGTGTGGCTTCTATTGGTAAAGGGAATGGTGGCCATGGGATAGGGCACTGGTGAGGAAGGAAGACAGAGACCCATATACATCCACGACTTCTTCTGGCAAAACAAAGTTTGCAACCCCAGGATGGAGAACTATTGGAGTGAGTCAAATTATTCTTAAAGAATAGAACATGCCAAAGATTAGATACGATACGGATTGGCCCTTGGAGGAAAACAAGTCCAGAATCATTAACCCAGAGTTTCAGAGAGGACTAGGAGCTGCAGGGAGACAAAATTAATGGTTTACTCTTAACCAGCTTTTCCCTGGACTCAAGGTGGGGAAGTTAGAAAAAGATCACATCACATTCCTTTGATCTTCTGATTTCCACACAGGCAAGTGCAGGTAAACACTAGTCTGGAAATAAAGACATCTGCATAGCATTTCGCTGTTTAATAGCACTTAGCCGGTTAAAGTTCTTTAATGTATGTGGCCCCTTCTGATTCTCACAGGTCTCCACTTTGCCGATCAGCAAATGGGAGTTCAGAGCATTTAAGGGACCTGGCCAAGGTGGAGGTGATGGTGCAGGGAAGGATGGGGCGACTCCTTTCACGTATCACCTACTGAGTGCCAGCTCCGTGTCCCACGGGGAGCTACAGGGTGGATGGAAAAAAAAAACTGGAAGGGCTTGGGTAATTATCACAGCTCTGAGGGACAGAGACAAGGAGATACGCCTGTTCAGGGCACGGGATCTGTTCAGAGGAGGGGTTCGGGGGCATGGGAAGGAATCTTGGGTCAGGGAAGGGCTCACAGAGGAATTGGCAGTTTTAAGGATGAACAGGGCTCTGCCGGTAGAGGAAGTATGGGAGCCAAGGGTAAAGGGTGGAGGAGGTGCAGGTAACAGAAAAGAATGTGTGCAAAGTACAAAGACTTGAAATAGCACGATGTGTTGAGCAATTACAGGTATTTCAGTATTGCTGGTTGGAGCGCAAGGGGAGAAGAGGGCCATGAGGCCACAGAATCAGGCAGCTGGATCTTCGGGTACCTGGGGCCCTGTGTGAATGTCCTGGACTTGGGGAGCCAGAGCCATCGAAAGCCAGCGCCTGATGGGAATAAGTTCTCTCTGGCTCCAGGGTGGGCAGCTGGAGACAGGGGATCCCCCAACAAGCCATGGCATTAATCCTGGCCAGACATGAGGAAACCTGATCCTGAGTGGCAGTGGGGAAACACAAGGGGGGGGCAGAGTCAGGAGATGCTGAAAAGATGGAACAGGACAGTTTTCCATCCCACATCTTGAAAGACAGGGAGCTCATTTGTAGGTTCAGCACTCATCTAAAGGAGGTGGAACTGACCAAAGGAGAAGTGTCCTGCCCCCTTGGGGACTGGTGGTCAGTAAAGGGGATGGCAAGTAGAGAGGCTCATGGGAAAGCAGGGATGAGCGTGTTAAGATATAAAACAGCTTCTAGGTGGCTAAGGGGTAAAACATCAGGATAAGGCAGCCAAAGGGAACTGGAGAGGAGAGACTCCCTGAGCGGCTCCTTTCCCACGGAACCCTCCTTCGCTGCGCAGATGACTCGCCCGATAGAGCCCCTTGTGGCCACACCCTGGTACTGCAGGCTATCGCTTGAGGGATGGGAGCCAGGACTGAGGCTGAGTGGCAGTCACCCCTTCCCTTTGTCACACCACAATTAGCCTAATGCCAATCCCAGAGGTGTGAGCTGGTGAGGGAGGGGCCTGAGTAATGTATCCCATCCAGGCTGCTTGGCTCCAAGCCTGTGGCAGGGGAGTGGCAGACTGTGGAGAGGCCACAAGACCAGTGTCCTGGAAGGTTGGGGCTTCCAACTCAAGGGGACAATGAGTGACCATCAAGAATAGGGGTAGGGGGAGTTAACGTCTGGGTCCCTCTGCAGCCTAGAAGTCATTCGAGGAACAATTGTTGAGCACCTACTATGGGCAAGATAGGAAGACATTCATGTACGCACACACACACACACACACACGCACACACACACCAGTAACACAAATCAAAGTGTGGTGGTGGCCTTGGGCAGTGTACAGAAAGAGACATCATGGAGAAGGGAAGATACGAGCAGGGAGATGATGGATAAAGAAAAGGACTTGGGAGTTTGGGGGTGTTGGGAGATATTTCTAGATGACAGACTAGTACAGTGTATCCAGGATGTCATGTGTTTAGGGGATAAGGTGCGGGACAGAGGGAGGTGATGGGAAATGAGTCTGGAAGGGGAGATGACACCATGGCATAGAGGAGAGACTGGGGATGCTGCACAAATCCCTGAACCCCATGATCTTCATTTCTGCAAATGGGACCTTTAATCCAGTGGTGAGGGGTATGTAGAGTTGGATTTTCCTGGAGCAGAGGAGCAAGAGAACTTAACATGTGCTATGGAGGTTCATGTCTTCCCACACTAAGTGGGTGTTTCCCATAAGTGTGCTGAAGTAGTGATACCACTTATCCTGGGGGCGCCTTGAGGACCCAGCCAGTCTGCTTTGCCTTCCGGGAGCCCCATCTGACACCCCAGGATGCTGTCCCAATGTAGCTATTTTCTACATGTGCCACGAGCTGCAAAAGATTGGGAAAGATCTTTCTAGATATGCCCATGTGTGCACACAATACAGCTGGCAGCAAAGAGCCACTGAGAAGCACCTTCCTAGGAGGGCTGGCCTGTTACTGGTCAGTTGCTGCTGACCATGTCACCCCATGGACATTGTCATAGCCCCAGCACCTTGCCATAATGCAATGCACATTGGTTTAAGGAAAGAGAAATTAGAAAGTTTTTCATAAGCTTTTTAAAAAACTAAATTAGTTTTTTTAAAGACCCATCATCCTGTGCTTTGAGAGCATGTCAGGAAGCTCCTGTTTTTAACATTTTAGTGTGAAATATAACATACATACAGAAAACCCCCACATAGCTAGCACCAGTGATGAATCAGAACATTGGAAAAGCCCCCCCTCATGTTCTCTGCCACCCAGGGTAACCATTATCCTAACTTCTGACGTCATAGATTAATTTTGCTTATTTTTCCACTTTAGGTAAGTGGAATCACATTGTATTGACTCTGATTTCTTTCCCTCCACATAACAGTCATGAGATTTGTCTGTGATTTTTCTGACAATAATTCATTCATTCTCGCTGCTATATAGTGTTTCATGACATAAATATACCACAATTTATTTATTCATTCAGCTGTTGGTGGGCGTTTGGGTTATTTCCAGTTTTTTGGCTAATAAGAACAGTGCTGCTATGAACATCCA